ACCAACACCGAGCATCCGTGCACGATATTCGGACATCCCCTTACCAACACCGAGCATCCGCGCACGACATTTGGACATCCCATAACATCACCGAACATCCGCGCACGACATTCAGACATCCCATAACATCACCGAGCATCCGAGCACGACATTCAGACATCCCATAACGTCACCGAGCATCCGAGCGCGACATTCGGACATCCTCGAAACATTCACAAACTAAAAAAATCATCCCATTATGCTCGATAGGCAATGGTCAAGTAGAATACAAAGAGTTCGTTAACATGATGGCTAGTCAGCTTGGAAACCCCATGCCCACAGAAGAAATGAAAACGTACTTTGCTAGTTTTGATAGAAATGGTGATGGTTTCATTGGTCCTGATGAAATGAAATGCCTCGTCAAGGCCTTCTATTCCAACCTTACTGGTGCGGCTTTAGAGAAACAAGTTAAAAGTATGATCAAAGCAGCTGATACAAATAATGATGGAAAGATTAGTTTTGAAGGTGAGTTTTGAGGAATCTTCCTGCGCATGACGGAAATGAATCGGAAGTGTTTTCCGAGATGAAGAACGCCACATACACCACCATTTCTATGCATTATTGATTGTTTGTAATTATTCCCAAGATATTTAAAAGTCAAAGAAACGGCGGCCATGTTGGATGATTAAACAAGAGACTTCTACAAGATCTTTTGTTAAATTCATCCAACATGGCGGCGATACCTTTTATCGTGAAACAAAGAATATAGTATGTCTCTGGCTTGTTTAACTCCAACAAAGGCCCATGCATATCGCATTACTGTAAATTAACTGACCTAGAATATTTCTAATTTTTTTACAGAATTTGAAAGGGTTCTCAAAGCATCAAGTGATTAGACAGACCCATGCAAGAGTCCAGTTTCTCTCGGTAGCGCCTGCCCGCAAAGGGAAAAGAAGAAACTGGACCCAACCAATGAATGTAACCTACGCTTTTAGTCATTATTTCAATTGTCAAAATCAATCCATTTAATTTACTAAACAAATCGTGTTATTTAAATCCATGTATGTGGTTTGTAGAAAATATTATATTCCAAGGGATAATCCATGATGGATTGCATGTAGTTTATGCAATTAAGCTGGGTGCTCGGGCACCAGTACCAAGTTTGGTTGAACTATTCATCAGACAGGAAATGTGTTAACTTGTACAGAATCAATACCAAAGTAAGATATCATCAAATTCCAAATCTTGCAATTCAGTTTTGAAATGTTCATATTTGAAGAGAACACACCATTGCCTACATTTCTGCCAACTTTAAGGCTGTTGCGAGCTTTAGAAGTTGAGATATTGGGTAATTAAGCTTCAAAATTTCCCATACGTTTCCTCTTATTTTGGACTGGATCCAACCATGACCACGTTAGATCCAGCCTCAAATGATAGAAAATGTATGAGAAAATGTTTGTATTAAATTAACTATATCTCAGCTGTAGGCATCGAAAGACTTGGAAGACACAGCGTTGCGGTTATCTGGAGCGCACCCTCATTCATATGACAACGATAACCCACCCAAAGGAATACAGTCACAGGATAAAATAAATGCTTCAATGTTAACATTTAAATTTTGTATTATTCTTAAAAGTGCAAAAACATCCTAGTCAGAGGCAATCTTAAAAACATTCTTTGAAAGAATGATGTTTTCAGCATTGATTACATTTGAATAGCACCATATTCACAACCCTAATTGATTGGATGTATTACACGAAAACACTTAGAAGCCATTTCAGTGTTTTACTGTACCGGCACAAAAACCAAGCATGGGCACCCTGTGGTGTTTCGATACACAACGCATTTCAAACTAGTTTTATAGTGCCATCATGTGACATCTTGGTTCACATGGTCATGATTAGTTCTATACCTACGTAGTTCTACACGACATCAAGGATCCGCTGTTTAATCTTCATGCAGTACTGCTTGATACTATCTAGTCCTTGCGACCTTGCAGCATCCATCCTTATAAAGAAAAGGGGTTACACTAATTAGTGACACGACCGCACATGAAATTAAACATGCCTTGAATACGAAAAAATAAACACACGGACACTTTTGTCAAAAAGATAAAATAAAAAAGTTATTCGTACAATAGGGTACCAAGAGAGTTCCGCGTTCGATCTTTTTGATGTCTAGAGCCGGCGCGCGCGCGAGGTGATACAATGTTTTTGAACTCTTGAGCTCGAGCGCGCGGAATAATGATAACTGATCAGCGCGCGCGTATGCACGTAGAAGGTACGTTTGGCAAACGTTTGGCCGTTTTCTTAGCTCGCGCGCGCTTGTTTACCTTCAAAAGTTCTGAGTTTGCATACGTTATTTGTTATTCGCAAATTCATAAAACGGTTGGATCGTAGTTTCATTCTGAACTCAACCGTGCTTCACATAACACTGGATTGGTGAGTGATTTACAATTTATTACACTTTTTTAAAAACATTATTACAAGTAGGATTCCTATCAACTGGTAAAGTAGGATTTATCATAGTTGATTTGCGTCGCACATAAGATATTAGCAAAAACCCGTTTAATCGTAGAATACCGAGCAGTCGATGTCAAAATGACTTCAGGCGCGAGAAGAAAATTACCTGATTTCATAGACCTGTTTTCGTGTTATCTCTATCTACCATTCATCATCATCTGCAATACAATCTGGACACTTGTTTTCTTGGTTTGATCCGCGTATTGAACCTGATTATTGATGTGGCCGTTAGGGCATTTGTACCAATGACCTACAACGTAAAAATATGACTTAAAATCGATGCCGATAATTGACATGGATTGCATCTTAGATTAGTATAATTTTAGACTCAAATTATATCCATATTGAAATTCACTAGCAAATACTGCAATCGTATTGGCTCCAACATTTTGAGTTATAAATCGCACCGTTTTGAAGAGCCAATTAAATTGCACAAAACAAAGCATTTGACCAATCAGATCAAAGAAAAAGGTAGTGAGTAAGTTTCCGGTCATACACATACCCGTAGATAGTCCCATGCTTGGAGTCACGGGCCATTCCTCACGTGTCAGTGATCGTACACCATACCTAGCACTGATGCTCATAAGAGCCTCATCTATGTCTTTGGCTTCCCTTTCTCGAAGTCGTGCTCCATTTGTAAGTTGTTTTTCGACTCGTTGTAGAGTTACTTTGTCTATGTCATTCAAAAGGGTCTAAAGACGAATGGTAGAAATGTTATGATACAAAGACAACATGTTTTACTTTGAATATTAACAGTTTATTACGATATTTAAGAATATATATTTCAGTTCATTTACCATGGAATCTTTTATTTTGCACTTGAGATGTCGTAACTTCAACTCCAGTCCAATGCGTGCTACCTCGTCTCGAACATCCTTGATCTGTTGATGTGGAATGTGAATGGTAGAGACAACCTTTCCTAGGAGAACGTTCAATTCACTCTCGACGTCTTCCAGCTCAAAGTCTTTCTCAATTTTTGCTTTTAGTTCGCAGATAATTTCCAAAAGCAGCAACTGGTTCTGCATAGTGTTAAGCTCAGTCAGCGTTCGACGTTGTTCGAGCCAACACTTAAAAGTATCCCAAATTGATGTGCTATTCACTTCTACTTCATCTTCCGCTTCCAGATCTTCTTCTCTTTCTTCTTCATCTTCAAATTCTTCAATGTCGTGGTCTTTAGTTCTTGCCGGACTTCTTATCTCTGGATAGGTATCACTCAGTGTGTCTAAGAAGTCCAATAGATTTTCCGTTTCTTCCTCCAACTTTCTTTCCTCTTGGAGAATTTTCTTTTTCACTCGTTCAATGTTATGAAGTTTTTCTTTAACCAGGTCGGCGTATCGGTAGGTACGCCTGATTGGTGTCTTGCACTTGGGGCAGCACTTGAGTTGGATAGGCTGGTCTTGTTCCTCCTCATCATCATTATAACTCATCCAGTTATCCATCCCGTTGACTTCAAAAACGTGCTTGCAGTCCACGAGCTCAATAAATCTAGCGCCTTTCTGATCTTCGCCACCAAAGTACAAAGCAGTGAGCTCTTCGTTGTCGCACACTATGCAAAGCTTTGGGCAAGGCTCACCACAAAGTCCAATACACCGATGTTGGCATGACAACAGTTTGAAACATGGCGTATCGCATCGTGGCCGGGTACATTTCTCGCTACACAGTCCTTTACACTTGTATCTGTTGCGGCACGATCTTTGGCATTCCCACGAGCACATTTCCTTGCAGGGTGTGCAAGGGTCTTGACATTCTAAAGGGCATCTGCTGTGGATGCAGCGATTCTCGCACTTTTCGGTGCACGGTGGGCAGTCTTTGGAGCAGGGCTCTGTACAGCGGTGTTGGCAAACCAGTATGCGCTGACACGGCTCCTGGCAGGTGACGTGTAGACGCCCTTGTTTACAGGACGAACAGCTCCCACCACAAGCATGACCACACTCAAGGATGGTTTTACAAGGCTCTTGACATTGGAAAGATGATTGGCGGATCTCTGAACAATTCCCTGTTGCGACATGCCCACAATTCAATTCTTTTGAGATTTGAACCTAAAAGTAGAAAATTTAAACATGAAAGTCATTCTTGATTCAATAAAAATAGATAAGCAGATACCACAGGAAGGCAGGCGAACCAACCAGCTAACAGACAGACAGACAGACAAACAGGTAAGCAAGCAGACAGACAGATAGACAGACAGACAGTTAAGCAAGCAGACAGAGAGACAGGCAAAACAACCAGCAGCTAACAGACAGACAGATAGACAGTCAAACAGACGAGCAAACGAACTCATTAAAACAGACAGAAAGGCTAACAGCCAAAGATTAGATAAAAGTAAATAAAATTATTGAGGTCGTTAGCTTCCTCAGATTAGTTGTTGCTACGACAGAACTAAGTCAGTAGCAGATTAAACTTTCAATTTTCCTGAGTAACGCATATTTACAGCTATGATTAGAATAGCGTTGTTAATTGGTTGTACACCCTGCATGCACAATAGAATATGTTAAGTTTTTTACCTTACAATTACTGGGGTCGCACTGCTCAAAACACTTCTTTGGACAAATGTGTCTGCACCCAAATCGAGTACGACACTGTTCTTGGCACTGGAACGCCTCAGGAGGTACCCCACAGGGTACAGATACCTCATGTCCGCATTTAGGGATCACTTTTACGACTTTAACCTCGCACCCTTTGCATGGGGTACCAAAGTGGCACTCGCTATTGCACCGAGTGTCGTGTTCACTGCAAAGCAGAGCTAGACATTTCTTTCTGCATTTATACTGTTCGTGGTCGGGATCTACTGGATGGCAAACCCTAAGGCACTCATGTCCACACTTCAAACGATACGAACATGGCTCCAAGCATCCACCCTCGGGTACGTTAATAAAGTCTCCTGCAGTTTTGGCACAAATCCTCTTCTCTGGATGGTTCATGCAGACGAGTTCAATCCCACTTCCAATTGCTTCCCATTTTTTCATATCTTCAACTATCTTTTTCCAAAGCCCACTTTTTTCAGCCAACATAGTGAAGTTCCCGATGCAGAAAAATCCTTCTTGGGCTCTGGACAGCGCCACACACACACGGTTTTCAATTCCTAGGAAGCCGATTTTCTTCTTGGCGTTGCTTCTCACAAGAGAGAGCAAGATAATCTTGTTCTCTTCTCCTTGGAAGTTGTCCACAGCTGTTACTCTCACGCCTTGGAAGCGTTCTTTTGGCATGAGTTTTCGTAAGACAAGCAGCTGGCCTGTGTACATAGTCAGGAGGGTGATTTCCTCTGGTCGGTAGCCTTGGTTAAGGAAGTATTCACACAGGGCCACCATGTAGGTTGCTTCATGCTTGTTTGAGTAGCTTTTGAGTTTTTGGTCATATTCATTGTTGTCTTCCATAACGTTATGGTTGATAAAGTACATATTGTATTTTACTCCTGGGACGTTCTTGTATTCACATACTTTTGGATGATCTTCAAGTTTCTCGTATATATGCTTCAAGACCCTTGAAATTTCTGGTCGCATACGATGCTGGATGTCTAAAGATTCACACTGCATCCCTCCTTTCACCATCCTTTCAAATAAAGAAACATCCAGGTTATATCTCTGCGACAAGTTGTAACAAGTTGGATTTGGTCTCAGTTGTTTGTGGTCCCCAATCAGAATAAGGTGTTGGGTTTCCTGTGTCAAGGAAGTGATGATGTGCGCCTCGAGTACTTCAGCGGCTTCCTCTACTACGACAATGCGCGGTTTGATTTGTTCAAGAAGCCTGCTGTACTTTGCAGCACCAGTGGTTGTCATCCCGATGACTGTGGCTTGAGATAGTACTTTGTGTTCTTCAAAGCTTTTCACTTCAGCGAGCCGTTTGCACTGCTGATCATAATCTTCAGCTTTCTTTTTGATCTCCTCCTGCTTGTTGCTTCGAAAGAGTCGGAGCCAGAACAGATACAGCGCCCAACGCTGTTTTTTGTCTAACCCCTGAAGATCAGAAATATTTATGGCATCTTTCTGGGGCATAGGTTTTAATTGAGTACCTTTTAGTATCTCCAGTTCCTGTTTACTTAGGGCCGCATATCGCTTTTTCGTCTGAGGCCCGCCCTTATTGTTCCCTCGAGGTGCCTGCTTTGAGTAGTGAACCTCATCTCCAATTTGCCGCCGACTCTGAATGATGTCTGCATCGTAATCTACCTCGATGTTGTTTTGGTCTTCCATCTCGTCAATCGGGAATTCTATTTCTTCACGTTTCTCTTGAAGGACAACGGGGGCAATATTCTTGAGGCCAAGCCAGCCCTCGACTGAGGAAAGCCCTTGCTGTTTGAGCTCGTAGCTTATCAAGTTCAATTGTTTCCTATGGCCTATCCCGATAGCGTCTCCTAGCTCCCCCACGGTCAGAATTCGCCTACGACTTTCATCAAGGATTTTTAGACACTTTTCCAGATATTCTTGAGACTCCTTTGTTTCTCTATACACGCGGCGCTGACCTTCAGATAACCTTCAAGTAGAAAGAAAAATGGATTTAAGATTTTTGATTCTATTGTTGCATCTAAACTAAATTCAACTAGCCTTTCCGGAATTGCAGAACGCGTTGCATCATGGGATGTTCTAGGGGACACTTTCATACCTACTTATATGGCGACTCATATTTTTTGCTTGCTGGTAGTGAAAAGTGATAGGGAATCATAATTGTCGTGTAAATTTTCAAATTTCTTTTATTTCTTTATGCAAAAAATGCCAACTGACCGATAAAGCGTCCTTCAAAACAGCCTCATATAATGCAACGCATTTATACAATTTCGGAACGAATATTTTATGCAATTTCTTCATTTCTTTGTTCTTTGACACATGGTCTGAAATGAGAAAACATTAAACCCAAGGTAAAGAGATCTAATGGTATTTTTGCCTGCCGTTGGCCTAAATTTCCTAACTAAAAAAGCATAGGAATTGAATCATCGCAATATGTGATATCTAACAAACAAACAATGATGATCAAGAAGGTTATTCTGGGCATTACACCTTAGAAAAAAATAGCGAACATTAATCTCCGACTTCGATGGGATTTGCACTAACAGCCAGTGGATAGACTTGCCCCAAGTCGACCTCTTTTACCTCGGGGGACTGAGTTTTTTACTGGAGCGAAGCGAGTGAGCAACGAAGCCAGTATAAATGAAAGGTGAAAAAGGTAAAGGTAATTTATTTTACTTCTATAACGCGGGGAGTAGTTGCCCAAATCTCCCGAGCCAAGGGCTCATGTTTAATGCGCTCAAAGGTGCGCCCTCTACCCCCTCTTACTATCAGTGCTCCTTTTTACGGGTATTTGAAGCTAATTAAAGCTACACAGGACAGAGAGGTCGAAACAGACGTGTAGTTCCTGAGGATCGAACTATGGACCTTTAGCTCTGAAGGCCGCGCACTAACCAACTGAGCTACGCCTGCTCCTGTGGTTAGTGTAGCCAGTGGTAATATATGTTTGTGCCCCGTACCTGGTTAGCTCATGTAGGTTATGATTCTGGAGCACCTCGCTTTTGCTTCTGCCACCAACTCTAACCACGCCGTCCACTTGGAATTCCAAGATGCCTTCTAGAAACTGATCCAAGGCGTGATTGGTGTAGCACACCATCAACATGCAGGAAGATTTCGCAGGATCTTTTGGTTTCCACACAGCTCGGTTATCCATGAGAGCACGGACTATCTTCAGACCCACGTATGTCTTTCCTGTGAATGCAAAGAAAGTTTATGTACTTATTTCTATAAAGTCAGTCACCAAAAACCTACAAACCTGAGATCACTGACAATCATGGGAAACCTTTCAGCTGCAACCCTGCAGCTTGAAGTTGCTCAGAAGAGGTGAGACTGTAACCAGTAAAAGATGTGCAAGTCCATCAAGCTAGGATTATGTAAACTTTATCTACTCATAATCCTAGCTGATCTCAGCTTTGCAGCTTTTCAGGTGACTAATATTTACTGAAATAAGTATATAAGTGTAAGGAGCAATTACTTTAAACTTGTTTCTTACTTTTATGGCTATTGCGCATGACAGTAATAAATAAGTGACAATGGAATACTGTTGGAACCAATCAAAGATTGGGAATAGACATTTCTTAATCAATTCGTAAGTCGACAAATAGACAAAGGGCCGTAACTATGGGTTATGATTGGATGAATTACTGGGAGAATATGGAAAGCCATTTCAATGTTACGGCATGTCGTACCGTGTACGTGTAAGTCAGTACTGTATGTTTGCCACTCATAAAGGAACCGCTCTAGGAAGCCATTTCAATGTTACGGTATGTCGTACCGTGTACATGTAAGTAAGTATCATACGTTTCCTACCCGTACAAAAACCACTCTAAAACTGATACAATATCTATGCAAATGTAACTAATCTTGTTTCTTACCGGTTCCTGGAGGTCCTTGAATCACTACAAACTCCTTCGTTAACGCTGCCTTCAGTGCTTCATACTGTGAACGATTCAGCTTCACCACATCTTCACTCGGCCATCCCTGTGGGTTCAGCACTTCAACATTCGCATTCACCCCTTGTCCAGTACTTAGGGCCTCAGTAAGGTCGCACCGTACTTTCAGATCTGTCAAATAAGCTGGTCTTTTAACGTCGGGAGAGCAACTTACAAGGTATTCCTGGAATGGGAATTGATCTGGTTTGATCTCTTTAAGTCTTTGGAGGACATGGCGGTAAGACTCGAAATAGGCGGGAGATTCCACCATGACAATTTTCTCATTACTCTTGACCGCTGGTTCTACTCCATCAATAAAGCGGACGTCTAGAAATCCCTTGGCAAGCTCCTCCGGCTTGCGATCTGCCACAGTGGCAAAAGTCATTGTCTTGAAGTTATCTTTGGACAGACACAGAAACGAGCCAAATAACACCCTCTTTGAGTGCTGCCAGAAATCCTTCCTCTTCACAAACGGACGAAAATAAATTCTATGGATTAAACCTGAACTCGAGAAACCAGGCCCAATGATTTTCACGTCTTCGTACATGGAGAGGTCATAGGATCGTTCTTCCTTTGAAACACCGCTCTTGATTTCTCGTATGCCTTCCCGTAATGGCCCAACGAAGTCTTCTCTTAACAGCCTGAATTGTACATCAAGGTAATGATCTAGATCATCGTACGTTTCATTTTCACCTGTTCGGATCCTGCGCAAAAAGGGAAGCTCACTGGAATTTATTTCCTCACTTCTTGGTTCAACAGACAACTCGTGGAAATCATCAGGTGGGGTACCTTCAACTTCTGGCTTTGCTTGAACACTACATCCCTTCACGAAAGCTTTCTTCTTCTTCTTCTGTTCTGTCCGGCTTCTCAACTCTTGATCCCTGATATCTAGTAAGCCATCTACTTCATCTTGAAGCTCAAGAACATCACAGTCCAATTTATTCAAACATCCACGGAACTCGTCAAGCGGGAGTTTCTGGCCAGACCCTGGAAATCTACTGAGCCACACCCTGAAGAAACAAGTCAAGCTCTGAAGTAAGCTCTTCAGGTCATCTTCATCGAAATCCTCAGCCTCAAATTGCAGCTCCAGAATGTACTCTTTAAGATGCTTGCTTAAGAATTTAGATTCTTTAAGAAGGAATAACAGCTCGTTGGCATTTTCTTTCATAAGTGACTTGGAGGCATTTGCGATCACGTGTATGAGCAGTGGTATCCAGTCACTTTTTATCTCTTCAGAGAAAATCAAGTCGTTAAAACTATCCTTGCAGTTTAGTAGATCGTCAACTACTTCATCAGGAGTCTTTGACTTTAGGCTTTCAAGGCGCTTGTATCCTAGGATAGGACCTCGCCGACCGGATCTTGCACCAGTACCACCTCTCCCATGAGGGGGTCGCTCCGCTGACTCTTCTTGATAATGAGAGTAGTTACCACGACCACGTCCTTGCCCTATACACCATAAAACATAGAATCAAAATCATTAAAGTAAATTTACTAAGCCAATAGAATAGATATTAGACTAGTAGACCCTTTATATGTGACGTCAAAGAAGCTCAATTTGGAGCACAAAACAAAAGAATTTCAATCTCCTGAGAATTGGAAACCTATATATATATATATTGTTATGTCAATCAAATTGAGCTGCATTCCTACGTACTCCACTATACACATTAGTAGACTCTAATTCCAAGGTCTTCTTTTAGTTTCTATTTGACTATTACACGTTAACTAATGTGTACTTATTGACTGAGTTGGAGGGCCGTACGGGAAAATATTTGACTCGAGGTGATGATGAATTACCGAGAGCCAAATATTTTCCCGTACGGCCCGACCAAACGTATTTTAAAAGTTGCAAATTATGTCAATACGGTCGCAGGTTTCGAGCAGGGTCGTACGGATTCGTACGGCCCTGCTCACGCCATTTTCCCGAAGGTTCTTTTAAGAGCGCGCGCCCGGGCAGATACGGGTCATATGATAATATTTTTTATTTCATGTCTTTACTCTAACCTAAAGTCTGAGACAATACTTTCAGTATTGATTCTACATGAAGTGAATAGTTAAATGGCAAAATATTTATTTCATTTGAGCATTGCTTCTTCAAGTTACAAAGGCTCAGGATAAAATTTTGCACGCTGTGATTGGTCGAGCAACTAGTGATTCTTTAACAATTAATCACACTCAAGCAGTGATTATGAGTTTACCCAAAGTTTGCATGAGCGGAAATAATGTTAAAAAGACTCGCGGCTTGGTAAATATTCACCGATAATCAATTTTTGATGAAAAAAGTATTAAACCTTATTTATTTACATTTTAGTTTTCATTCAAACTGTCTCATTTTAGTTTAATCACATACATGAAAAAATGATGGAAACATTTATAACAATCACTAGTGTGGACAAAGTAACAACAGAAAGCAAAGTTATAACGATAAACAGAAGAAAAAAAGGTTAAAAAAGAATTGTATGGCAAAGAGAGACCAAAATGCTCAGAGACAGCATCTCAATCTTATGAAAAATGGCTTTTACGAACACCGGATACAATATTTTCTCTATGAGCTAAGGCCATATTTAAAAGTATAAGCACTTACCTCTATAGCCTGATCTATAGTTAGACCCTGCTTTAGCAGATCCCCATCCTCTTCTTCCACGATTCATAGCAGTTAATTCCTCTAAATCCCTAGAATATGAAGAAAATACATCTGATTAAACAAGCCAGACACAAAACATCATGTAGCATGGTGTAGTTGTCAGGGTAATCCTAAAATGGTCACGGCCTGATTTCTTGGAAATATGCATAATCAAAAATGTTTTGACTACGATGAGTCTCGGAAAACGTAGACAAGGAACCTTGGACTGCGGACGGTCAGGATTTCACGCATCGTGTACAAGGATGAAAAATATTACTTGATATTAAGGGGATTTTTTGTTATTTCATTTGCTATTGGAACATAAATTGTGCATAGAATAGAATAGAATAGAACTTTATTTGTGCCCTCTGATTTGCAGATTGTTACAATTTTGAGAATTATAATTAAAAATTTGAGGAACCGCTTGCTACCTAAAATAGCAATGCTAATCAAGTTAGGTAGCATAAATTGCGTTACTGTAAATGGCTCTTGGTCCCTTAATTAAAGTAAAGCAATTCAATCAAAATTGGTATCAAAATGCTTGAATGTGGAAGCATTTTCGGGGTCAAAATTAAATATGTGTAACTTATACCATTTGACTTTAGAAACACAATACCTTCACACATTTCTACTTTTGAAAACACACTGTTCTTTGTGAGATGACTTTATGCCTTTTTCGCAAGTCATCGAATGTTCGCAAGGCGAAAGCGGAAGTGGTTTCAAGGTCTAATAACAATGTGTGATATCATATGGCATCTACAGATGTAAAACGAGAGGCGAGAGGCGAAGTTTTTTTAAGAGCGCGCGCCCGGGCAGATACGGGTCATATGATGTACTAAACGCTCAGCGGAGGAGCTGTCAAGATATTTCCTTATTTTTTCCTTATTCCTTATTCCTCTACATTTCTGATTGCTAACGAGGCTGAACGACAGACATTGTTGACATGACTAGACATAGTGAGATGTTGGTCAAATATGACTCCTAAATTACGTGCCTCTTTACTGGTAGATACTATATGTTGTTCAATGTTTATGCTAGGTATTGTAAGTTCTTTTGAAAAACAAGACGAAAAATGAACTATTCCAGTCTTAGATGTATTGCAGCTAAGCTGGTTCGTTGCAAAAAATGATTGTACGTCATAGATACATTGTTCTAAGTTAATTAAAGTTGAAGCTCTGCAGTCAGGGTTCAATGTTATGTAAAGTTGCGTGTCGTCGGCATACAGCATGCTGTCTAATCCATGTGATTGAATAATGAGCTTGAATAATAATTGACCCCTAAAATGCGCCATTGTAAATTGCTTTAGCGTTACACTCAAATGGCTTCTGCCTCTGAACCAACCAAATCAGTGGCGGCGTTTAACTGTGAAAGCCATTCATATGTCATTGGCAAGTACTTGGTAAATTAATAAGTAAAATTGAAGACCAAAATAAGATTATAATTCTCATATAATTAAGAGAAATATGCTAATCATTCACAAG